ATGAGAGATTTACATGCACACTCTTCCATTGCCCAATGCAGACCTACACCTGTATACACAGGTATACATGTACATGTATGCACTTAAATTTGCTTTCTAAAAATGTCTGTTGTATTACTTCGGATTTCAAAGACACACGCCACATGTAATGTTTGTTTTCGAATAATTTATTATTCGATCACACAGTTAGCGATACACTCTACATGTGTACATGTATACAACTGCCCGTTCCTGGTGTTTCAAGTTTGGGGGATTTGTAGGATCCTTGATTTTACATTCCTTCAATTTTTCGTTCTCTCACCTACATGTAAAAGTAGTACAATGATAAATTCTCAACAGAAGGGTAGCAGAACTGACTGGAGTGTGCCTCACAGAATTTGTGATACACGACGATACCATGTACATGTACAACACTGTACCGTAGTATCAAACTTTCGCACTAGGAGGTGTACGGACGTACATGTAGGCCTACCTGGGTACCTAAGTTAACCGGTACTGTACAGCACATTCTATGTACCCGTTCTACGTAGACGTCACAAGTGTGAAAATATATTTTAGGTACATGTTGGTAGTTTCAACATCTTCAAGTTTAAACTGTCTTAATCAACGTTCAATTCCGACAGAAATGTTTAATGTGCACCTGCTTGGGCCATCCTCGGCACAACAGCAAGTGGTTCGTTTGATGCAAGTTTCACTCAAGAATGGTAACAAATGAAAAAGCACTCCCCGAACTTACCACAACTGACTTCCACTGTAGCCTGTATCTCTCGACTTTGTGCTAGTCTTGGTTGCCGATTTCATTTTGTTGTTTGAATTACAAAAAGTAACAGCTTCCCAACTTAAGATGCCATCGTTTTCGTAAGGTACAGTGTAGATATGTTGCAGACAAGTGGGGGTGCTTGACAGAAAAAAAGGACCGTGTCCCTGCCTACACTAACAAACAAGTGGACCACTCCGTGTTGTGTTATCTAAGGTCGTTGCCGTTACAAACGCACTGTCCAACAGAGCAACAACCCTCCAACCCTTTTTTTTTTTCTCTTTAACGTGAACAAAAAAGTCCCCAGCGGTGACTCTACTGTGGGTTTCAGGAAACGGAGGATTTCCGCTACACCTCAGTGAGTCCCTATAGCACAAACACCCTGGAAACCTCCGCGGACTGAAGCCAGATTTAATGGGTCCTGTGTTGTAAACTCATCGTATTGTGTGCCATCACTCAAGATTTCTGCAGCTCCCCGAGGGCATGATTAGCGTGGGCCTTTTCTTTGTTAATCTCCCAGAACGACTTGCCGCAATCAAAGGCCAGATTTTTGGCACGACTTGCTGTTATTTCAAATGCCTAGTGAGTACATGTAGTGTACTTATCTACACGTTTCAAGGGTAACACCCATGAACATGATGAAAGAAGCCCTTCCAAGCATCTTGACACATTGATGAAATGGAAGTATTTTGTGTATAAATAAAGTCCACATACCCCACATGGACATTTAACAATTTGCCACCATCTGATAGCCCTACATCCTTTTTCGAAAGCCAGCATTGAACAAATTATACCATGATGAAACATGCCCTAATCAGTAAATTAACCCTCCAAGACCAAGTAATCATGTACATGTAGTGTCTCTGCCTGCAGCGCAGTACAAGATCTGGTTCCTGTAGACCAGGTTCGAGTAGACTTGATTCAAGTCATGATCTTCCGTGACATTGTCTGCGTTTATGCTTTGGATATGGAGGCCGTGCAGCAGGATTTGCTTCGCCCCCTCTTTATGTCCACTTTTTACCGTGAGTTCAGAACTCCCGACTTGACAAATCTAGCAACCATTTGTTCACAGCAAATCCTAAAGTAGTAGCAGCCAATCAAATTCCTGGACTTCTTTTTACATCGTTCATACAAGTACCTGCATTATAATGAACAAGTCTACATATACGAGTTTGACTACATTATGCAAGATCACGTACATGTAGTTCATACATGCAGTTATCAAATTATGATTAATTACATGTACATATAAAGGGAAGGGAGTCTGATTGGCCAACCCGTCAAGTCATTGAGGCAGGAATTTTCTACCTCCATGGTCAAGTTGGACTTACTGACTGGTGACACACATTGTGCAATCTTTGGCATTGATGCCGGATTGATATCGCGGAAAAGCTATAAAATGAGGGTACCTTACAAGACGTTATGAAAGTGGCCGAGCGTGTACTGCATGTTCCGTAAGGGATGGCTGACTGGGGAAGAGCCACACAACTTAAGTATGACTTGATTTGAGTCTAACAACACTGTCTAAGCTTGGTGAGAGACCATGTGGGCATTTTCATGTGTTTTTAAGTATTTTTCTCCGAACCCCAAAAGTTGCAACGTTAGGCCTAGTATTAAAATTACTATAGCAGGATATTTCATTTTGTTTTCGTGATTTGTAGTTTTGGAGAATTTTAGTGAAGAGTTCCATACCCGTGCTCAGCTGGTTCAGAAGTTAGTGGGATGTGTCAGAAGATGACATTTATACAGACGTGACAGACACATGACAGATACATGTAAGCGCACCGTAACCCAGGACACACAAGATCGGTGTCATGTGTCCCTGCATCGATTACATGAAAACACCAGAAAACCAAATCACAAGTGTGATGAAAGTTTTAGCCCATAGCATGTCAAAATATCCTTCGAAGAGCAAAATGGCTTTATTTCCTTGTGGAAAGAAGCGAAATGTACACTTACGGGTTTGACAATATACGACGCGACTCGACGAGGCAGACCGATATTGAACAGTCGATTGTATGAGCGGTACGATAGAGATGCGCATTGTTGGGTATGGTCAAAAGAGGGCGCTATTCGAAAAGACGGCATGCCACGACGCTGTCACAGGCTTCCACTGTTTTTTACTACATGTACTTGACTCTTTTATAAGCGCAATACAAATATCGCGTTGCAAAACAAGTAAGATTTATAAAGTCCATTTCTTTACCCAGGATATGCCCAAACAGTTACAAACTGGTTTCCATTGGGGCCCTGCAACCATTGCAAATTAATGAAATTGTTAAAAACTCACGACGAAAAGTAATATTGACACATACGACAAACGTTAATATTTACAAATACAGACCACTGAAATATCATACACATGTGAACATTTAAACAATCAAGGCATTAATTGAATACTGATCACGGAATGGGTAAAAATCCGCAAAAAAACCTATGGGAAAGGAGAACACGGGGAAATTCCCGATCCGGCTCCAATGAACATTGGCAACCAAGTTAACAACTCCATAGATCAGCGGACCTGGTCACGGCTTTCCGTATTTCTGATTTGAATGTTCCTAGGGAGCTATCGTAGATTTCATTTCTTTGGGCAATTTATTGTTGTCGAAGTATATGGCAGTAAGCCAGTGAGCAACCCTTTTTTCAGAAATATTTTCCAATGCCAAATTTGGAGTTCAAAGTTTGAGCATAAAAAATATGCACCCTAAATAGCATCTTCCTGGGTTTACTTAAGATCAATATTCATAAAGTCGGTTCAAAATGATTGCGAGTCATTCTTAGTGGGAAAATGATTGAAAGGTCTGTGCAGACAATAAATACACTGCAAAGATGTCATACTGGAGAAAAAAAAGTCGACGGGATGGGGCAAGTAATTATCATAAAAGTGACTTGTGACTTAACCCCTTCTGGACATGTTCGTTTTCAAACAAGAATTTCTATCGTTGCGCGTTGAACCTCGAAGAAACTTCTACACAGCTACATCAACATCGTGCAGTTCACAGGGAACAAAATTTATCCGGTGTTTTCACCACTTTCCCAATAATTGTAAACTAAATCCTCCCCAGTAGCGGCACTATTAAAATAACGGACTGCAGTCGTTTTCAGGCAAATTATGCATGATATTGATAGGATTTTTTAAAATTAATAAACATGTAGGCACCTGCAGCATTATTGTTCGTATCTGCTCAATCATATCTGGTCCAAACTACCACCCTCTGTCTCGTTGTAAACACCAACGATATATCTGCATTTGAGCTCCTCTTCGAAAACCTGAATGAAGCAGTAAAATCACCGAATCAACCAATTCTGCATCGAGGGGCATAATTGACCAATTCTGCATCGAGGGGCATAATTGAACAGTCACGGCATTTGGGGTCATCAGCAAAAAAATGGAATGTTCCACGCGTGTGGAATGTTGACTGACGTGGGCCCCATGCACCATGATTTTTATGCCGGCAATAATACAGCAACGCTGGCGCAGAGTCAACCTCGTCGTCCAATTATGTTAATCATCTCGATGCTGATATCCCGAGGCAGGGGCTGCATGGGCGTGTGCAAAACGGCGTTATTAATAAAAAGCGATCCAAATACGGCCCATGTTTGCACGGATGACTCGTGCACGGCTGTATGTATGCAGGATAGGCCGGCCGTGGGAACACTCCAGTGATTAAATTCTGTCTCGCTCCAGCTGAGAGTGTTTTGCCCCACAAGAAATTAATGATGAGCAGCCTCCAGTTTATCAGTATGGCGAGCTGGTTATAAAGTGCGCGTCGTGTGCATTGATCTGCAACTGCGCAGGTTTGCAGCCTAGTCATATATCCGAGGCCTCCAGCAATTTTTGACGGTTAAATGATAATTCTTTCCATGCCTATAGCTTCATGCATTAAATCTGGTCCTCAGATCTGTATCATTTTTTTTACGACAGTACGCCTGTACGCATAATAATGAAAAAGAAGGTCGGGGCTTAATGCCTTTTAAATGTTCCGTCCAGTGTAATTAGAAACAGATTCCAGTCATGCATTCATGCCAAACCAACCCGTGTTGGCCAACGTAATACGGAATCTCTCTACATTGGCTTTACAATAAGCGTGGCTATGTATACGCCCACTGCAAAAACTCAGGTGTTAAATTCAACAACCTGGTGTTATCGGAGGACTATATCAACACTTTTCACTGGTGTTAAACTTTTGGTATTATTTGGTGTTACTTTTAACACCCTTCAGTGCATTGTAACATTTATAGGTGTGCAAAGTAACATCATCAGTGTTAAAGTAACACCCTATGGTGTGGTCATCTAATAACACCAAAAAGTGTTAATTCTAACACCAAAGGTTTTACAGTGTGGCAGATTTAAACACTAGGTGGTTAAAATGCCGATGATCATCTACTCTCTGACCCACCCAGAAGACTCAAATTATGGCTCAAGATATAGAGATGAGTTCGTCTCAGGACGTAAAAAAGGCTGCTTCTTCACTGCCATGCGGTTTCCGTGAACAGACTCCTGTGAACAGAGGAGGTCCTGTATGAAATCTTACGACGGGTGCAGCAAAGCCGTCACGTGAACTGCGCGGGTCCACATGATGATGACGGTTTCCACGAAAATTCGCCTTGAAGAGTGCGGACTCAGTTAATGATTTTTTCGCTCCAGGTAAGCGTGATCACGTGGAGTTCAACACACAAAGCGAGGGACCTTTATTGGTGACCTTCTCTACTCTATATATAAAACTATATATGATGACTACTAAAGCCATTCTTAATAAAAGTGACAGAGAATTACCGCAAAGCTATAGGTGCGGTCATCATTATTGAAAAAATAATATAATATGGAAATATTATTGGAAGAAATATTGCTTGGCGACTCAGCTACGAGGTACGATAAATACCCCCCCCAAATGATGTCCCTGGATGGAACATTGTGTCAGCTGATATGCCATGGAAGTAATGATTACGAAGTAGTCTATCTGAAAAGAAGTCATCATTTGACCTCACGAGCGAAGACCCATCGGTCCGTGGATCGCTCGTCCCCGCCGCTGGAAGACGTACACGCCAGCCTGAAGCCGAGCAGCGACGTCTCTCGGAACAGCCGCACCCGGTTCACGGGTTGGCCCCGAGGAAGGTTCAGCCCGTACTCCTCCGACCGCGTCAGCCGGCTTTTGAAGGTGTGGCCGTCCTTGAAGGACCCAACCACCACGGGAATCCTCTTGAGGACATCGGCGCTGCCGAAGACGATCCACTGGCCCGAAGCGCACTCGAACTCCACCTCCACGAACTCCATCTCCGGGATGCGCTCTGCCTGCCTCCGCGCCTCCTCTCCCTGTCGCTCTTGGTCCTCCCGAAGCCGGGCCACGGCCTGGATGAGCTCCCGTATCTGGTAGAAGTCGGCCTCGGCCGCCAGCAGATCCAGCTCCCGGAAGTCGTCCGGCAGGGTCAGGGTGGAGCGCCTGAGGAAGTTGAGGACGTAGCGAAAGAGCGGACCGTCGCCATCGATCACGTAGTTGCCCTGCGCGTCGCGGGCCGACTGGATGCGACCGCTGAACATGGAGCCGAGCATGGAGTCTGGGTAGCGGGTGAGAGTCGACAGTGATGTGGTGTACAGGCTTCCTCCCACATTCAGGTTGATAACCTCGTCCATAGTATGACAACGACGAATGAAAATCTGAATAACGCCAGCCCTCAATAATCAGTCTACATGTACTGCGTTCAGCCCGCAAGCTGAGCAATGCTACCACGAAGTCACACATGGAAGCTTAATACACGTACGCGTCAACCTGTACCTACAATCATTCATTTGTTGGCACGTATCTACGACGTCTGTGTACCGGCTCTTCCCAGATGATCAAAAGTTAAAAGCGCCCTCTAGGGAACTGATCGGAATGCCTCATCCATTACAAAAAAATGAAATAAAAACTAGAATGATTTTATCTGGGGGCGATGGGGCCGGGTTTTATTATTTTTCCCCTCCTTCCAACTTCTATTGAGAGATGGCTTTAATATTTAGCCTATTTTTGGGACTTCAGGTGTTTTTTTGTTTTTTGGTTGTTTTGTTTTTTGCAAAGTCACACTTCATTCGCCCGCTAAAATGACAACGCAACGAATTCACAGCCGAGCTGGGAAGCATATTGGAAAAATCTTGGCCTCTGACAGAAACGCCCATCGTAGAAAGATGTGGAGTGCAGCGCCTGGCTCTAAAATGCTCCTGGTTGTTTTGTCTGGAGATATGACGTAAGGCTCACCTAATCCTCTGCTGATTTCTCGGCATCGTAAGTGGGAGAACAAGTTGTGCTTTTACCCATCAACCCCCTTAAAAATGAAAACCGAAAGAACAAAACAAATTTTAATAAAATGAAAATTTATTAATTAAAAGAAAAAATTTGGTGCAAAAATTTCATAGAAATTGACCTCACTCACTCTAAAGGCGCCTATTGGGGGTGCGTTGCGTAAATAATACGTTCATGCGTTTCACTTTCACGGACACAAAGATCGACTCATTAATATAACATTTGCCTGCGTCACATTTGGCCGTTAAAATCGCCCCGGAGGTGATAATAAAGGTTAGGCCTACGCAACGCTTGGCCCAAGTGCTGACACGCATAATGGAAATCGTCTTCTAATGGATTACGATTAAATGGATCATGCACGATCGGGAAAATTAAGATATGGGGTTCCATCCATTTCACAGTTGAAGTATTGACGATCTGGATGGACGAATCTGGTACACGATTGCAGTTTTTCGTTTGACTGCTACACTTTACACCTTTTCTCTAGTCTCCTAGTGTATCATTCCGGGTTCACCTTCCCTTTTCCTATTGACCCCAAGTTCTCTTCCTTGTTTTCCCCTTCCTATTCCATGCCCAGCGCCCTCCCCCCACCAGTGTTATAGATAATAATACATCAATCCGTTTTCCTGGTCAAATTTCTTATTTTTGACATACTGAGCAGGGCTTCACTTAATACCACCGAACACACTATAGAATCCGACCTCACACCTCGCGACTATTTATTTTAACCGCACCAGCCTTTGATATCTTGTTGTCCGGGCTTTTGAAGTCTATGCCAAGCCTGAGTACCTTCACAATAGCGCCAGTACAAAGTCTGTCTCGTGGGTGTGGAAACCAACAAGAGTCAGGAGGAACGTCACATCGTAGGCATGCGTGTCTGACAGTCTGGTTCCCGGATACTATCCTCGTTACTAGTTTGTGTAAACTCAACGGGTTAATTAAGGTCTTCGCTGAAAGCCACCTGCACTGCTTCTTCGCCATTTTCAAAGACAAAAATGGCTCTGGGAAGCAGTGGTTATGGAAAAACAACAGTTGTATTTTTGACTTTTTCACTGGCAATTTGTACTGCGTATCTACTGTGGTCTAACTTGGCCAGTGTCGTCATCGAATCGGAGGTGAGTGGTGTCCGTCAGCCCGACAATGCGCGACTCCGTGAGCGACCCGTTCTTGGAAAATCGCACAGGGCGTTTCAACCACCGAGCGAGTCAACTCTCCCCAAACCGATGCCTCCACCGAGGACGAACGAGGGAAGCGGCTGCGAGAAGCGATTGCCAGGAGCCATCGTGATTGGCGTGATGAAGTGCGGCACCTACGCCCTCAAGAGCTTTCTGCACCATCATCCCGACATCGCTATGCGCATTGATGAAATGGTGAATTTCTTCACTTTCTCTAATCAGCACCCGGACCTGGAGGCCTACCGAGACATGATGGCCTGCTCGACCCCAGGCCAGCTGACCATGGAGGGGTCCCCGGGATATTACCCTGAAATAGTCGCTCCCGGACTAATCAAAATTGCCTTACCTAAAGTTAAGCTAATCCTTATCTTACGGGATCCGGTGAACCGCGCGGTGTCTGAGTATCTTCACTTGATGGACATGGAGAACAAGATGGGGCCGCGCCCAAATATGTATAAGCCCATGCCTCAAATAAAGGAAGGGTGTCGATCTGAAATAGCGCCCTCTTTTGAAGAAGCTGTGTCTTACTCCAACGGGAGTCTTAAGACTTACAATCTCATCCTGGCGAAAGGTTGCTACGCCGACTTCCTCCCGAGGTGGTTTTCTCAATTTCCCCGCCAGAGATTCTTGATTCTGGACGGCGACGCCTTTGCCAGGGACCCGTTACCGCAGCTCAAGCTGGCGGAGAGGTTCCTCGATATCCGACCCTTCTTCACCCGCCGCCATTTCAAGTACAACAAAGAGAAGGGATTTTATTGCTTCAACTTCAAGGAGGCGCGGAAGAACCAGGCCTGCCTGGGCGGTACTAAAGGGCGCCCTCATCCACTCATTAACGCCACTCTGCTTCGGACTTTGCACCGATACTATGCGCCCTTCAATCGGAAACTCAACAAATTGCTGAATCGAACTTTCCGCTGGTCCGATGCATCACAGGATGTTGCCTGAATCCCTGGACGCCCACCTGCTTGTTCAAGGTCAGGGTAAATTGTCGCCAGGCACCCTCAAATGTGGCAATACGGTCATTACAAATGAATTTGGTTTTGAGTTGTAATTAATGTAATACAAATCGGTAGGTTATAAAAAGCTGGCTTTCCAGCTACGCTACCATCTCACCAAAGACGAAACCGACATGGAAGAATTGTTGCATTTCAAGAAGACGTTTATTCCATAACCTTTCTCAAAGCAAAATACACCTATAACAAAAGGGAAATAGGTACATAGAAATCGACAAAATGGATGAGCGTAAGAAAATACAGAGGAAATTAAAGAAACTTGGTACATTGAAGTTAGCAAAGTGGCAAAAGATACTTAATGAAAGAAAGTAGAACCTGTGATAAGAAAAAAATGGTCCACGTACAAACGACAAAAGAAAACAGCATGAGGCTGTTAAATGAGCACAGGTTTGTAAAACATAGCCCTTATTAATAACATGGCATAACAAGAACAACGACTCGAACAACTATGAGACAAAAACACAGGACAGACAAGGCATAAAAGACCTGACAATAGCCGACTGCAAAAAGTTACAAAAACTGTAATATTTGATGGCAACTAATTGTAATACAGTAAAGAAGGAGTTATTAGCCATAAGTATGCAGAAAAAGACAAAAGCTATATTTGGTACATAATGGGAATTAAAGGAAGGCGCTTTTGAATAATAGGTCTCAGACTAACCAATGGATTACTTCATCATCTGACGTCATCGGGAATGCCATTCCATTAACGGGGATGGACCGAAAAGGCGAAGGGTGCTAATTGAGTAGACGGTGCAAGTAAAGGGAACAAAATTATTGTTAAAAATATTGTTATTTTAAAATTCGTTTTATTATAAAATAGTAATTAAGTGAAATAGAACGGCCAAAGAATCATCTGAAAACCTGTACTTGTAAAGTCAGTTACAGCTTCATTCAATAATGCATTACAGCAGGGCCTAAAAACTCAGGAAATCTAATAAGGCTCTAGTTGACAGCTAAAACGAAACACAAAACAGTAAATGTTCAAGTCGAATCAGTTTCTTAACGCTGAAAGCGTAATACAAGACTTCTACATTACACGTCTAATGAAACGACGTTAAAAGTTTCAAATTGCTGTAAATCATTCAGTTTCAGTCAACTTTGAACTATGCAACCTCTGTAACAGATTTCGCTCCCAAACTCCATGCTGAATTTTGTTGGCTATTCGTCGCAAGAACCACTCACCCTACCTAGCAGCGTAAGTGAAAGAATGCTGTTCCATGTAGCGTCACCTGCAACACCGCAAACGACTTCCACGTTGAACAAACGTGTTTGGTATTTGACAAAATCCAGCTGACGAGAATAGGGGTACACATTTACGGTATCACGATAAAAAACAGTCTTAGCGTAAAGTGTTTCGGTAATCTACTCGTAATAAATGTCAATAACATAAGGAAACTTTCAACTTTGAAAAAGTCCTGTTAAAAATTACAGAATCAGGCTTTAAAAGCATTATACTGCAGGGGTAGATTACATTTAATTATAAGTAAGTTAATTGCATGTATTGTGAAATAGAGTACTACATATTCAGGAGAGTTTACAGGGTCAGCTTTGACCTCGATTTGCATATTGACCTAAATGTGTTTCATGCGACTTAACGTTTCCTGTGCAATTACTC